GGGCGTACCGCCCGCATGCGGCATGTTGAGTCGGACTCCGTCCGAGACTGCGTCTAACCAACAAATCGAAAGGGGCCCACGCAAGCGGCAAAACCATTTTGAATGTCAACTTCACTTTGGTGGGCACGTGCGAATCTACCCGGGCCATGTAAACGCCCATCTGATAGGGCCCCGCGGATATGCAGCCTTAACCCTGACATACCCGATGAAGCCCGGTGACGTTGGAGCTCCGCATTGCCCTCTTGGACCACCACCATGGCCTGTCAGCTATGGAGAACGGCCCCAAATGTTTGCAGGATGAACGTGACTTCCCTTGACCCGAGTTGATTCTCCCTGCGCTCTCCGCAGGCCTTTATGTTGCTATAGCTTTCTGAAGCTTTGACTGAGTGTATTCGCAAAAAGTGTGAGAGCATGCCGCGTGCTGATCGCATCGCCGATTTAGCCGAACTATTTAGGCGAACTGCATGATTCGCTGGACCAACGTCTCACAATGCCTGGGATTGGGAGCTCCGCAGAGCTATAGTCTCTCTCCTCTCAAGCCGTCCTTCGCAAATGTGCGTGTCAAATGATGCTACCTTTCCCGCATAGGCAAACTTTGCTCAGGGACCAGATCACCCAGCGCGCACCCCTTCAGGGCCCACCGCCCAGAGCCTGCAGGATTTCAATGGCAGAACCGCGGCCGCCGGCCACTTTGGAGGCCTTTTCGTTCATCTTGGACCTGACAGCGATCTACATGCTACCAACATGCTACCAACGTTCCAACTACGTAGCTCCAAATCTCCGTAGCCACTGGCCCGAGGGAAGCTCCTGGCCGAGGTGCCACAGCTCCCGGGCACGGTTCAGGTCCCAAACGTCCGCCTCTTTGATTTCCTGTGGGCCAGATGAGGCGCTTGGCCCAAGTTTCTCAATGGCTCCATGAAAAGGGGGAACCTCCGAAGTAAGTGTTCCTTGTGTCGAAGGCACTGATGCCGTGCCCAACACCCATTTCCCAAGCCCAACACTGTCTCCACATTAGCTTCCCATCTGACCACTCCCCTGGCCTCGTCCAGGATGCTGTGCACCGGCACTTCCTCAGGTCACTCAGCAAGCCTCATTGGTCTCTCGCACGTGCGTGGGATTGTCACAAGTGATCGGTTCTTTGGCACAGGTTTGTGGACAGCGCTGCCTGAAGCCACTGAACATCACCGTTAGTCTAAAGACTTCGCACAGCACCCAACAGCAGCAAGCAACGCAGAAAACTTAGCATCTGCAACGAAGCATCGCACAATAACAACATGAAGCATGGCTTTGCACTCGCAACACTTTGAACATCAACACAAACCACAGCGCAACAAATCATCATACTGCACTACTTCCCTAGACAACCGCGCCAAACAGCCACTTGCCCCCTCCCTTTCTGGCCTCGTCTGGCTCCTCTTCGACCTCCTGCAGCTTTTGCAAGGATGGGTATCGATTCGGGCATCCACTCAGACCCACATGTGGCAAGCTGACAGGGGTAGCTTGAGTGGACGAGCTGACACTCTGTCAGCCAAACGCAAGTGGAAAGACTTATCCCGCCGAAAATGATTGCCTTGCCCAGTTTGGCTAAACATCGCTGGTTACTGGCATCAAAAGCACCCTGATTTGGACACCAGAGGTCGACGAACTGCAACATAGGCTTCTGCGAATGCATTTCAATGACTTATTGAGTTTCGGTGCCTCAAGAGTGCTTTGTGTGTCTCAGGGTCAGTTCGGCACTGTTCCCATCTTTGGCTTGTGCCAACCTTTGCAACAGGCTTGCCCAAAAATTGCCAGGGTTCTGTTCTAGGTGTTGTGCCATGACAAAACGTGAACCCCATGTCGGGCTTCAGTTGCTTCATGAAAAAGCAAGCCACGGGTCTTTTCGTCACGTGGCCAATTTTCACGAATGCCCTAGCCCACCAATACAGAACCTGCTCGTCATGAAAGGGTCGAAAAGTGAAGCAGGCTGCAAATGCTTAGAAACTTCACATTACCGTCAGCAACTTATGATCAAACACCCATCACTGGCAAGATCATGAAGCAGCTCTTTGTGAGGTCAGAAGTCACTACTGACCATCGACAGCGGCTGATTCCGTCGCCGCTCCTGCTATCAAACAGTTCCGGAGAATCGGGGAAGCGTCCAAAAACGGTCCTCCTCCGGCTTTACCTCGTCGAAGAAGATAGGCTTCAGCTTCCGCTTCGGCTTCGGCTCCAGGTCCTTGCCCTCCTCCTTCTCCTGCGCCGAACTCCCTTCCAGTTTCAGTCAATACCTAAGCCCCTTGTATACCCCCTTTCCAAATTTTTCCCCATGAAACATGCTCAACCATGGACCTTCCACGGGTCCCTGGCATCCGACTCCCGGATCGAACTTTGGGGGGGAGGGGTTGGGGGGGTTTAAGGGTGGGGGGTTGGGAGGTGTTTCTTGTTTTGTCTTTGCTCCATTCGAGACATCCACTCGTGTGCGGTTGGGGGGGGGGGGGCGAGGGGGGGGGGGGGGTTTTCTCAAAAGGGTCTAAGGGGTTCTAAGGCAGTTCTAAGGGAAGACTCGGGGGGTGGGGAGTAAGGGGTCCTAAGAACTTTTGGCACCGGATCGGCGGATCGCAGGACAATGGGAGATTGATATTGCCACAAAACGGATCGCGCATGCCATGCAGCCAGGCAAACGAGTTGCCACCCGAAAAAATAAGGAGACATAGAGGAAAGAAACCTTCCTGGTCCCCTGGAACGTTGGGCCAGGTTCCCTTGTGGTCTTGCGGCGGGGGGGGGGCTGTCAAGTCAAAGCTCCAAGTTTGCTTGTGGTAGAGCGGGTCACCAAGCGTCTCGCTAAAGAAGGGCGGACAGCCACGGTGCAATGTTTGAAGAGAATCACGTGCCCCTCTAAAACAATATGTTTTCCCATTTGCGACGTGTCCTGCCCCAGTGACAAAGGCCTCCCCAAGAGAACATGCGGACGCAGCCTTTGACCTTGCCGAGTCACCTTGGGGGAGAAGGCTGCTAAGCTTGCCAATTTGATGAGCCCAAGCGAAGCTGCATGTTCTGATGGATTGCGCTGAGTCAGCAGTGAGGACCTTTCTCATGTGTGAAACCCCTGTCAAGTTGAGCACGCGGAGTTTGGTGTGCGGGAGAGCCGGAAAAGGCAAAGCCAATACAGCCCGCGAGCTGTACCCATTCCAATCCAAAGCTTATGACACACAGAGGGGGACAATCTGCCACAGCCAAAGTGATAAGGAAACTTATTGGCAATTGGCACAAGGCGCAAAGCTGCCGACTCAACCAATTCACATTTTTTGACAGTCTCCCCCACACAGCAGCACTGTCTATTTGTCAGATTTCTCACTGTATTGAGGCAAAGGCCAATCCCCTGACCCCCCAGGTCCTGAAGAGCCTCCTCGGCCTTCTCCTGCTCAGCTTGCTGCTCACTCAGTGCCTGTGCCCTGGCGCGCTCCTGCCATGGCCCAGGCTTGCCAAAGTGACATTGAATGAGCACTTGCATGCGCACATGTCTGCATGTATTTGTGACCCCTCTGTATTGGATGTTGCCCATTGACTTGGTGACCGGTTCTTGTGTTGAGCATTCACCCCATTCCACGCCAGCAGCCAGACAGGCTGACAAGACTACAAACGCAGAGATGGTTGAGGGACTGTCAACCATGCTGCCATGAATGAACGCAGCTCTCCAGACAAATATTTCTCACCACTGGACAGAGGAACCAAAAGCCGGGCGCCTACCGATAGAACCGGTACTTCCAGAGATGGCCCATGAATCAAGGTAAGCATACCATCCCACTACCCGCTCCCCTCCCACCTCCTGCAACTGGGCCCTGCGCTTCTGCGCTCGGGAGAACCGCTGCCGCTCTCGCCAGGTGCCGTTGGCGCCGGCTTGCAAGGTGGCGCTGCACCTGGGGCGCCAGGCAGAGGAAGATGCAAAGCAACACAAGAGTATAAAACAAGAATGTAACCCACTTTGACCGCCGGTTTGCTCCAATCTGCCAGCGTTCCATGCACTTTGAGTTGGTGACCCGGAACGCTGTCCAACTACGCCGGCGGTAGTCCCCGCGCCAGGAAATGGCTGATGGAAAGCAACTTCCAAGTAGTGTCTCGATGCTGCGCAAGCTGCGCGTTGCCAATTACTCTGCGCACGTTGGTCCAAGTTGCTCTGCACAAATTGTTCTGTGCAAATTGCTCTGCGCAAGCTGCTCTATGCAAGCTGCTCTGTGCAAGCTGCTCCTTGGAAGTTTCTCTGTGCAAGCTGCTCTGTGCAAGTAGCGCTGCGCAAACTGCTCTGTGCAAGTCGCTCTGTGCCAGCTGCACTGTGAAAGTTGCTCTGCGCGGGGGCTGAACCTGCTTTCGGGCAAAAAATACGCACTACTCACGCTGTTGCAGAATGTCCGGCGTCCACAAAATCGGTTGCAAAAGGTCCTTCAGAAGTGGAGGGTGAAGGATGCCGGCTGCGCAAACCATCTGCCCACCGTGTAATGTGCGTCTTGCTCCCTAGAAAATTCCAAAGCGCATACTTGACAGAAGGACAATAAGTCGCTCAACTGCCCCTCTCCGCACCTAGGGCCCTGGGGCCCCTGGCTTCACGAGCACCTGCACCTCTGACATGCCCTTCGCCTCAAAGGCCCTCACCATGTTGTTCATAGAGTCCTCCGGAAGGAAAAAGAACAGGAACTAGTGCCATTCCAGCTGTCAGGACGCAGGAAACGACGTCCCGCGGGCAATGCGCCAAACAAAGTCATCACCAGAACCCGCACGTTCAGGAAATTCGCGGGCTGCCTTACCTTCAAATGTGTAAAGCCTCGCCCGATTCAAAACAGCTGCGGCCGGCAATCATTTAACTTGCTGTATGCCTCTTTCCCGAGACTAAACACACCCGTCATTTCCTGCGCTAAGGACTTAAGGGAACAAGCTAGCCACAAATGCTTTGAGCATTTCCTCATGAAAGGCAGCGGCGTTGCCGGTCAGCCAACTTGGATAAGTGCACAACTACCATCACCTCTCCTTCGTCTCATCTTCCCTGGCGCGCGGATCATCCAAGCAGGGCCCGTGAGGTTCAAGCTACTTGCTGAGTTCGCGATGCAATGGCTCTAGGGGAACAAAGTGTAGCTAACGCCATTGTTTTGCTTGTCGGGGCGTTTCCTGGTTCGCCCCTACAGCGGCAACCATGTGCAACCATTTCTGCTTGATGATCCAAGACAGGCCCCTCCACAATGGCCAAACCAAAAGCATTCATTGCCTTTTGATGCTGCGAGCAGCTTGACTGCAAGGAACTGGGGACAGCCACTTGGCCCGCGCAAAGGTTCAAGAACCTCCCATGAGCTTCATGCCCACGTGCCACTCCCTCCTTCCCAAGGACGACAAAAGCTTGAACCTGTGCCTCTTCGGGCGACCCAACCAGACTTTGTCCCAAAATCCCAACTCATTTATCAAAAAAAGAAGAAAACAAACCTGTGGCAGGAGCCTGTTGTGCAAGGACGACCTGGGCTCTGGAAGGCCAATAATTCGCAGCCCCCTTTCACGGGCGGGCTGTGCAGAACACGGAAGCAGGTCCTCGCAGCCCATACTTGGGGCCCTTTGTGCTTTTCTGTTTGGATTCTCGCCTTGGGCCGGAAACAAGGTTGCTCGTGGGCCGGAGGCAAGGCTTCCTCCAGCGCCTGGCTTTTGTTTTTGGATTCACGCCTGGTGCCGAACAAACGTGAATCCAACAAAAGCACTCAGGCCCTGAAAAGAAGCCTTCTTTCCGGCCGCAGGCGTAAATCAAAAATACACAAGGCCCTCATTCACAAAATCAAATGGAGCTTCAAAACGCTGAGCTGGGTGCATAGCAGGGACCAGAATCCAGAATGCATCAGGCTATGGGTCAAACACCTGCTTGAAGGGCCAGTGCCTAGCTGGGGGTCGCTATATATGCACGTGTATATGTACAGTAGAGATGCTACATCAATTTGAAAAGTTGAAGCAAGATAAGACTAGCTCGCTGTGTTTGATTCAAGCAATCCCAAGCCTGAGCCCAGTAATGTTGCCACCATAAGATAAATAATACCGCACGTCGTCAAGTAAATGGCGGACGCATTCCCTTTAACCCTCGGGCAGCTTGAGCCAAACGCAGATGCGTTTAGAGGATTGGTACCTTTTGGAGAACTGGCACACATGACAACTGCAAACTGTCATGGTTGCAAAAGGAACGAACCTCATGAATGGAAGCTTTGCTTAGCCATGGGTTCCTGAATATGCGAAACGGTGGACAGACAACGTCTACCGTACGATTCCTCCTAGCAAACTCGTCTCAGCTAAGCATGCCACATGAAGGCTACTGACCAAACATGTCCTGGAAGTGATGGCGCATCATTGGCATCTCAGTCCAACATGTATAATGCTCAGTATTCTTCAACTCCCCCTTCCTGCGTGGATGGGAAGGAAGGTATTGCATATGCAGCATGTTCAAGGCAGCTGGCCATGTCGCTGGCGCAAGGGCCTTGGTGAAGATATCAGCTAGTTTCTTATCAGTGGCTATGTACCTCAACTGGACATGATCTTCTTGCAAAACTCCATACAAGGAACCTAAGTCTATCTTGTGAGTTTTGACAAGTGCCTGAGCTTCGGTGAATACCCTGAGTGGGCGGTTGCTATGACGGCTGAATTGTCTTGATGGCAGATCAAGTCAACCGGCCTATCAATAATCAGCAAGTATTTCGCACAACTCTTGAACAGGCATGAATACGCCGGCATCCAAAGAGATAATTTCTGCTTCAGTTGTGGATCGTCACGATGCGGTTTGTCTCCGGCTTGCCCGTGGCAATGGGAAGAATGAGTTCGGTCCTTGAAGAAGCAGAACCATCCCGCTCGTCGACTTCGAATTCTCAGTCTCTGATGCATGGTCCGCATCAGTGTACAAGTTTATACTTAGCGACTCGAAAGGGTCACCTATCCAACTCTTCAACGAGAGATGTGGAGACGTGTACAAGTAACACATAAGTCTGAACAGTCTCTTGTCGTCGGCCAAGCTCCAACATGTCACTTTCTTGGTTAGGTCGTTGACGTCCCAATTGCACCGTCTGGCACAAAAGGAGTGGAAGCCTCCTTGAGGACTTTGAAAGCTCTACGTATAGATTGCACGACGATCTGCAAAAATCTACCATATCATAAAAGATTGTGGTTTTTCCTTTAGAGTGATCATAAGCATGCTTGCAGAATGCGATCCACTCCAGTTGGCGGATCTATTTCAAGGTGTTCCTCAATTTTGGTCCAGAGACGCTCCACTTCCTGGCGAGGGCCTGACAAAGTCATGCAAAGTCACTAAAAGGCGTTCCTTTTTCAACCAATACGAAGACTGAAAGATATTGTCAAGATGTTGACCTCCTAGTGATGCCATCACTTGCTTGAATTTTGCATCCCAATGAAACCGGCGTCTGGATGCCCATAAAGGCTACGGCGTAACCTGACACAATGTTGTAGATGTTGGAACTCCTTGAACGTTAGTTCCATCCGCAATTCCACCCATGTGGGAACTTTCGTGAGCAATTCACTTTGGGTGTCGGCCTGCACAACGTCTGACATTTGAGAAACATTTCCTTCACAACATCCGTAAAACAAATTCACATTTATCCCAGTCAAGACCTGTAAGGCTTACCTTCAGATCCTGTAGGACCGCTAGGTTGTTTGATTCATCCCGAATGTCACCACCGCAAACAACAATTCTGGCTTTGAGCCGTCTGGCGGTGTTTCGAAGTGCTTGATTGAAAGAATGGTCATGAGTCTGCCAATGTTTAGAGGTTCTTTTCTGGCAAGCAAAACATCCCTTGGAACAACTTCCTCGTAGGACCAAGTCTGGTTTGCTATTAAACCGTTTGCCTCTTTGTCAATGGCTTGCTGATGGCCAACATGCTTGTGCCAATCTCGCCTATCAATCAAGTGACGCACGCCTGCAAACACTGTGCTCTCAAGTTCAGGCTCGGGTTGATCACTTGGCACGTGATCATGAACAAGTCGGCATTGCAGGAACGTCCTTGTCAGTCACGGTTGGGTACAAGCTTGTGGCGATGCACCTGACCATGGCTTCGGGTAGTATGCCGTCAATGCTGCTTTGTTACCAGCAACTTGGCTATGGACAAAATCATGTGGATGTTTGCACTTGTGTGCGTTGAGATTCTTGGCAAGCCTCCAAGAAGAAGTCACCACTCTCCACAGTTTGCGATGTGGCTTCCCTTCGGAATCTACCAAGAAAAAACTCTTCGGCCACTCGAAGGCAACATGGCCCCCTTGAGCAAGCACTTTTTCAGCGGCTGCCGAGTAGTTTTCCAACATCCTAAGACTTCTTCCTAAGGCCTTTGCGCTGATTTTTGTGCAATTTCTTTTTGTAGCCTTCACCGTACAAGGTTCTGCCAATTTGACCACGGAAGCATTTTTAGCAGCGATTGTCCTTGCTGTCGGTCAAACATCTCAGAATTCTTAGCAGTGAGTCTGATGTGACCAATGCCTAATTCTTCATGGATCTTCCCCATCATTGAGTCGGGGCCACAGCAAAACGCAAACATCATCTGATAAGCACCGCGTATTGGCTTTGTTTTAGGATTCAAGGGCGTGTGTTGACAAACGCTATGCACAAGTCCACTTACGACTTCTCGAATGTTTGGTTTGGCAATCCCTTCTTGGAGGTCCGTGATGATAGAAAGCACAGCATGGTTACCCGACGTCACCCCTTTTCAGAGTGTCCGATTCAGTCAGCAAATTTGATTGCGTTGCAGAAACTTTAGCAGTTTTGGTGTCAACTGGCTCCTTTGGAAAGAACCATGTCACGCCTGCCATGTCCAGCTCCTCGACGAAATGCGACGGTTAGGAGAACCGTGCTGCCAGCCGTCCTCGTAGGTCGACCATCGCCCTCTACATTTCCATTCGGTCCAACGATGTGAAGTTATCTTGTCAGAATGAACCGGCACATCCTTACCAACTGGAGTAAAGAGTCGCTTCCCAGGCTGCACTTTATTTTCATCGAATTCCCAAAAATCCTTTTCTTCTTGTTCAGGATTCGTGGCTGGACACGCATTTGCGTCTTGCTGCAAAGCGGGCATTGCTGCTGCTTTTGGAGCGGCGGGAGCAGATAATCGCTTCTCTGCCTCGGCTGCCTTTTCATGTTCAAGCAATTGTTTGAACCTTTCATGGCATTCATCTGAATGGGACATGCCTTCTACAATTTTGGCGCATCCTTTACACCCCGGAGTCTTGCCTAACCTCATCGCCCGTTGAAAGGGTGACGTAGGATTTGCTGGGCCTGACCAAAGGTTTTGGAGCGTCGCCTTCAAACGGCAGGGCTTTTCTAGTTTCAAATGATTTGAGCTACGCAGCTTGAACAGCATAAGCTTTGACACTTGGGCCTCACAGAGTGGAAGGAAAAAGTTTTCGGCATTACCAGCTCAGAGCTGTGAACCTGTAAAGGTCTGCCGTACCCTTTAGATCTCGTCCTAACAGCTTCATAGTCTAAAACCAGGAGCACGTCACGGCACCTGAATCCTGCATCCAACCTCCAACCAACGAAGATTCCTGGATTGAAAGGAGGGAGATTCCCGTGCTTAGCTGGCTTTTTGTAAACCAGGGCGCCCGATTAAGTAAAGTTACTCGGCGATCCGAGTCCCACCCGTCTGCTGCAAAGACTTGTCTCAGTATGCTCGCCTTCTGGCTTGTGCC